AGCGTCGATGTTACCCTGTCGCTAAACATCGTTGACACATCTGATCTGATTTTTCAACGCCAGCCTTGTCTTTCACAGTTCTAAATCCTGGACTTAATGAATCTGTCGATCATCTATCGACAGCGACTGAGTTCTTGTTAGTACTCAGCGCACCAGTAACTGCTGGTGTATACAATACGCACAGGGATCACGTCTATCATGAAAACAGCAACTCCAAACATAAGTGGTGGTCTGTCTATCACATCCGCTTGAATTGCTCTCTGATTGCCCGGATAGGTTGGTCGCACTAACGTCTGCACCCTTGAGGCTGCTGTGCAATAGTGGCCTGGTGATCTGTCACTCTTCTTTTGCCTCTCGTTTTTGGTCGAGACTTTGTTCCTACCGGCACAGTTGTTACTTGTACCTCGCGGTTTGTGCTTTTGCTCTTTGTCCTTGACCTATTCTTATCAATTACCTTACCAGCTAACTTATCATAAATGGCCACACAGTATCGATCAACGATGAATGTGATTCACCGACGCCTCGTGTTTGCATTATGTCAACTTCACGAGCCACCTGCTGCTCATGGAGTTATATATGGTCAGTGAGTACATTTTACAATCGAGACAAAATCCAGAGTCCTAAACGTGATGGATATACAAATAGTCCATGTTATTCGGACCGATTTTCAACAAAGGACTCATAGGCATCGTTTTTAAGACTACCCAGATTGACAGATCTAATAACTCTGGGTCTTCTTGGCGCGGCAAATTACGTTACCACTCCGCGCCTGCTTCATCAGTATGGCTTTCTGGTGCGGTGTTATTAGCCATCTTTATACTCAAAGCTCGTCTTTCTCAAAGAACAATTTAAATTTTTACTAGGAGTGCTCAATATGATCACCTAGGGTCGCCCGAACGTCTCCCTCGAGAGTTGTTTTTACGTGGTCGGCTCTTCCACTATAATGTAGTAATTAATATTGTAGTTGTTTACCTGGATGTAATGCTCAGATTTAATCAACTGAAAGACCAGGAAAGATACATAAATTGTACAAGTACTTTTGTAGCATCTTCATATTTTGATACAAAACTACTGTTTGGAATTTAAATTTATAAAGATTTATACCACTTAATTAAAAATTATTGGATCTTATTATTATGATTCTAAATATTGACCAAATATTTAAAATGATATCAGTTTAAAGTATTATTTTACAATTTTCACTTAGCACGCTCATTTTTATGTATGATAATCGTTTTTCAACTACTCAACAATCATATCCTTGTAAAGTAGAGGATATTTACTGTATAAACATATTATAATTCATAAAGTGCAGAAAATAAATCAAAACATAGTTGTATTTGCTCATGCTCATGTGATAGGGAATTGAATGAAGAAATGGCACTATGTATAACAGTGTTTATTAACATAATCACAAGTTAACACTGGGCGCTTTAATTATATTAGTCACATGTACCTAATCATTAACAGAATCAGAAATTAAGACCAGTTATTTACAGTTAATTTGACACTCTGCCTATGACAACCTTTCTTTCTAATTCGACAAATTTTTTAGGTCTGATTCCTATTATCCTCTTATCCACTTCATTTCATTACTTAGTTACATATTTTCATGTTTCCAGTATGTGATAGAATACTTGTGGTGTTCTAGTGCTATACCTTGTAAATATGTAACCAGATATTAAAAAGTAATAATGCATAAGGTTTATAAGTAATAATAGTTAAGCTTGATATATTACACAATACTGTATCACAAGGGTAATATCCCAAATTCATATTAGTATGCTATTAGTGATTATATTTACGTTTTAATCTAAACATCACTACAGTTTACTCATTCATCTTTTTCTTTGTACTTTCAGTTCTGTCAATAATTATGAGTATACTGTACAATCATCACAAATGCATACATTACTTGTTAGCTATTGAAAGAGTTTTCTATTAACATTATTTTCATGCCTTTTTAGAATTCTTTTCTTCTATATTATATGAGCTTATTTAAAACAATAAACTTATTACTTCCATATAAATAATTTTCAGAAGTATCAATAATAGTATACCATACTTCAGTTAATATTAAGAACCACATATCTGTGGTAGTAATTTTTCTTGTAACAATATTATCAAACCATCAAATTCATTCATTTAACAATTGATACACAAGTTTTATGTAAAAGAATGTTTTAAATGGAACCTACTGTAGTATTTACTTTTACTTACATAAATTTCAATTAGTTTTGTAATGAAAATTCCGAAATATGCTCGAAGAAAGGTAATATTAATTACCGATTATAATATTTAATTATTATAGTTGTGTGGTAGTAATGTCAAATGGTTTCATTTAAAATTTCCTTATATCGTAAATTTAGTCATATAAGCTTGAGATCATCAATCATTGTCCCAAAAACAGTATTTAAAATTGTAAAACAAAAAACTAATCGTATCACTTGTGATAGTTTCGAGTACTACTCGAATTCTAGTTGCCTTAATGCACTAATAAATTAATAACCGTTTGGTAACTATTTTATACCGAGACCTTGTATATTAGATATGGAAACCTACTTATACAGAGGTGCTCATGTAACACATTATTCCTAATGTGCCTGTTTTTATACAATTCTCATATGTAGGTTTTAAAGTCTAGTTGAGTAACTATAATACAATTTTAGTAAAACATACATGAACACTAAAAGCTATATTATACCTTTTCATTGTATAATAGACAAGAAAATATAGGAACATCGGAAATTTTATGAACGTATGTCTTCGTCATCCATTAAGCACTTCTATTTGAATAAAGCTAAGAGGTCACAAAATACTTGACTTGAATTAAATTTTCAAAAAATTTGAAATAAAAATAAAAAAAATATACTGTTTTGTTAATAATTAAATGTTTATTTTTATATTTCGTATGTAGAACATTATATTATTCCCCCGTGTCGAACTGCCAAACTACACACTTCTATAAAAAATGAATCATTTTGTATTAATCAATATTTTCTTGTCAATGTACTAATTATATATTCTAAAATATATAAGACATATGTATACATATACATAAACAGTACATACATATATTACAAGTATAATTAAAGTTACATTAAGATAGTACATATAGGTAGTTTTTATGACAGACGTTCTTTATATATTCATTGCAATGTTGAAAAGGAAGTGTCGTTTAAACAATAGTAATTCAAAGATGTATATAATACAAGTGTCGTCAATTTTTTTGTAGATAGATCTATTTTGAATACTCGAAGTAGTAACCTTGTTAAAATATACTTTCGTTACGTATTTTTATACATACAAAATAACGTAACACTATTACGTTTTAACCTTAGTTTAGAATGTTCACTATATTTATCCGTAGTTGACAGTAATGAAATAGCATGTGCCTCATACTTGCAGTGTTTACTAAATTACGTAGATAATGTGTCAAGATAAAAAATGCTTATAAAATACCATTAAGCAATAATTTATTTAATATCCACATTTGCAGTGACAGCTTAATACATATCATTTTAACTAGTTACACAATTTTTCATAGCACATCTAAACCTTACATATTTTAATTATATAAACAAAAATTACTTTCAATAATAAATATTTGAAAGAAACATAATACTCCTGTTTTTAATGTTTTTGAATTCCTTTAGGAGAATAGATACTATTTAAATATAAGGTACAAATAAATTTTATTCATTCATGGTTTTATTGCTATTATTTACATCAGCATTGTTTACATGGTTATCTGTTTCTTTTGTGTTTAAAGATTTTGCCAATTCATATAAATGGGAAGTATTTTTTCGTACTTCCTTTTCTAAATTTAGCTTTTTTTCTTCTTTCTCTTTCAGTAATTTAGTTGTTTCAGGATCCACAGGTTTTATAAGACCTTTGCTAGCTTTATAAATAATGCTTGTACTGTCTTCGAGTTTAAAAACAAATGTTATCCTGTTAGAAAATATTCAGATTAATTTATAAATTATTTAGTAATTCTTAGACTTTATAATACTTTTGTTCTTACTGTTCGACATCCAAACCTTCTTGTATTTTTTCTATCTCATCAAGAGAAATATTAAACGACGTTGACCAAGGTACATATATCTCTATCTGAGAATTTTTATTTCGTTTTACTTCTAAATATAACAAGTCTAAATCTTTATTATATTTGTAATTGACTTCCCAGTATCTTTTTGCTAGGTATAAACATTATTTATGACAGTATTTATAAAATACAAAAGACTAATTTTCATATTATTTAATTACCTTCACATAGTTCAATATAAACGTAAAATGTTGTATTAATTTTTACAGAATCAGTGCAGCCCAGTTTTCCAATATCATAATACTAACAATATTAATGCAAATTAATTTTAAAGCTAATACGTTTGAAAATTAGTTAAATTACACTTACACTAGGATGACATGTGTCATACATGGTCCTTTAGTAAAATAACTTTTTATGCTAAAAATTGAATCTTTATAATAACTACTCAGTTTAACCTACATTTGAAAACAATTCTTCAATCTGAATGAGATATGAAATGTAATTGTTTTACATTCAGGTTGACAAAGGCAGTTTACATTTACACTTTAAATACTTGACATTTATAGAAAGTAAATCAGGATTTGTTAAGGGAATGCGTGATAAATAAAGTAAATATAAAGTTACTGTCAGACACTACCTAAAATTTATAAGAATACAATGTTCTTGTATACATTTTCTCTGCGAAATTCTCTGCCGGTAATATGTTTAGAATATATATATAGAGACACATATATTGATAAGTAGATTTGGTATTGCAATCGAGCGACCTCTAGCGAAAGATTTAGAAAATTGCAAGTAATACTAGTTCTCAAGTAACCGAATAGATGGTGCTTGCACATTGCTTATTAAATTTTATCAAACACTCCAATTTAAAATCTAGAAGGAAACAATATATGTAGGTATAAATACAAGTAGTTGTTCATTATTTATTTCTTCAAACAAATATTTATACAATTCATTTCGAAAATCTACGATCAATAATTAATATATTTGTTAATAATGTGACAACATTGACAATATTGCAGTTCTTTATCCGCTATTTAGGTACATTGATTGTATTCACATTCTTAGGTGATAAATGTATCTTACAAAAAATTGTGCGCAGTACACCCTGTATACAAGAATCGCGATCTCGTTTTTATGCTTACAATAGAATATATATTTGGTGTTTGTGTAAAATATGAAATCGGTCAATCTAAAATTGCTTTCAACTGTTAAATTAAGGCACTTACAAAAACTACAATAATAATAATAATAATAATAATAATAATAATAATAATAATAATAATAGTAAAGAATATTGCCTTTCACAACAGAAGAAAATGTCATCAAAAAATAATTGTGCAAACTCTGTACGAAAACGAATTCCTTTAAAATTACTGTGGTTTTAATCAGTCAATTATAAGGGTAATTAATCTTCGAAGAAATTCGTATTTCGGATTTTAAACATTTTTCAAATTTGTCTCCGCAAGACTGTTTTATAACTTATAAAAGTGACGTACTTTAAGCTCGCTTGATACCCAATTATCGTCACGCTATCCCAACAATCTGCTTTCAGTCTTTTTTTTTTAAATATATTACATCAATTCGATGAAATCGAAAAAAGAGATTTAAAAATCGTTATTTAAAAAGACCAGAGGGCAAGGTACACGGTGATTCAGTAGAGCCTCAATTTTTCGCGACGTTAAACGCACGGACTGTTCTAAAGCTGTGCGGATCCTCTCCACGCGGAATCGAAGCCACACGCGGTGTCCGAGTCCGAATCGTTGCTTTGCTGCATCTTGGGCGCGGCGGAACTGACGGCTGTCGTGGAGGTCGGTCGGCGATGCATCGACTGACTCGACCGGGAGACCTTGCCCTGAAGGAGCGGAGTGTTTGGCTGACTGGCTGCCTGGTGATCCCGCGACGAACCGAAATCCTGTGCTCGTCGACTCCTCCTCTTCTTGATAGGCGCGTACTTTGGCGGTGGCATCATCTTCTGCTCCAACTTTGTAAGAATTAGAAAAATATTTATAACCTTTAGAGAAAAGAATTAGGACAACCCTTGGACGTTTCCAGCATGCTCTCGTAGTGCCTCCTTCGAACCGATCGTGCAAGCAATAAGAAATACAAAGTAGGAATCGTTTATTACCGACTCAAGATAAATCTCGAAAGAAAAATAATCACTGGATAACGTCGATTGTTTTTCTCAAAACAAAGATGGCCGCGAGTCACCGCTCGACACGTTCTGGAATGGACAAAGTGAGAAAATGTTCGCGTTTAAAATCACGATTTGTCAAGTGCAGCGTAAAGTGCGGAGATTGACGATTTTCGATTAAAAACGTGCGACTTGCGGGTCGACCCACGTATCCTCTTCGGAAGGAGGCAGGCTCGTGGTCGCGCGCACGGTAATTTCATCTCCCTACCTGTGGAAAGCGAGCGTTAATATTAAACGAGTTCGCGATTCGTCGCATAATATTCATGCATCAGGGGGGATACGGTGCTGCCGGTGCTCGTCCAAGGGTTGAATAATTATAGAGGGTTAAGCAGAGGAGGCCGGGTATCGGGCAATTTTCGAGAACGCGACCGTCTCTCTTTCTCTCCTCTACCTGCACATTATCCGCCGATCCCCAGCTCTTGTGTATCTTCTCGTGGTTGCTGCTGGCGCTGCTAGTTGCCACACCCAGGAACTGGCTGAACGCTTCCGTCGTACGTTTCACGCGTACGTTCAGCGAGCCAATACGCAGGAAACCAAGATCTTTCTCTGCGTGTTCAACCAATGATCGTGTTACCGCATTGCAATCATCGTGCCGCTAAACGCTTCCCGCTCTCCGCTGCGTTTAGCTGTTTTCTAAATCGTGTAAACGCCGCTACTGGCGCTACTGTTGCCGCAAGCGGAGCAACTAAACCGCACCGCTGCTCTTTTCATTGCTTTCTCGTATTTGGGAGTTGGTTCGTGTCGCATGCATCTACCGTGAAGGAAGTTGGAAGCGAGTCTAGGAGAATGACTATAGAACATGGACTACCGTTTAGAGGGGACCCTTGGTAGGTATTGTAACTTACGTAGGAAAGTGTTGGGGACTCAAACGAGGTTATCTTTTCTCTTTTTTTTAGATAGAGCGAGAATTTGCAAGGTGCTTGAAAGGGGAGCTGTGTGTAGAAATACGAGAGTCTGTGTACGGGATAGATGCATGAGTCTTACGGGGCGATTCCAGTAATTCGAGGTTAGAATTTTATCTATGAACTCGAGAGAAAATTGGTAAAGGAGAATACGAAATTTCTCGACGAGAAAGTTCGCATAAATGAATTTTTCTTTTCCTCTTAATGAGACGAGCCGAAGAAATATCTAGGTTCGTATTTATCTAGGGGATTTTGCCACGAATTTCCAAGCTTTTACGTATACGTATGGTAATGCGTTTTAACGTGTAAAAGCATACAGATATTTTTTTTACCGATCATTTTCCGAGATTAAATATTTTCTCCCGAGTCTACCGATTTCGATCGATTTCTCGAATTCTCCGCCAATTTTCTCCGTCTCGGTCATAGAATCTTTCTCCATAGAAATTGTCCGATTGATAATTGGAGACGCTACGTTACCAACGTGGATCCTAATCGTTTCACGTGCGAGTTCTCGCACTTTCGTTTCACTTTCGGATCTTTCAGGTGCAAGGAATAATACCACGGCTAGAAACAAGTGGTAGTTCAGCAAGATCAAAGAAAACTAAAACCACTCTACCGAACACTGTCGCTCACTACTCCACAGAACGGCCCGACGCATGCACTAAACTAGCTCCATTTAATTAGTGATCGTTCCATGCGGATTATTTCTTACCTGCATGCTTTTTCCTTGCTTTTATTTCTGAAATAAAATAGAAAATCATTTGAGACTGTCTCGTGGAAGCCGCGGCGGGCGCGGACGTCGGAGCAGAGGAATATCGAGGATTAATAGACACGGGCTGATTATTGGAAATTACTGGATTGCCGGTACTCGACGGAATTAGTCGTCGTGGTTAGAAAAACGTTAAGAGCGACAGCGCTTGCGGCATTTGCAGGCTGTTGCTGTTGGTTAATGACGAACGAATCAGCTTCACAGGTTACACTCAGTGCTCAGTAACGCAACCGACTGAACGAAAAATAATCGAAAACAAAAAAGAAAAAAACAAAAAAAAAAAAAACAAAAAAATGACCCAGGCTCAGAAAAATCAAAATTCTTCAACGAAAAATTTCCGGAAAACGCTCTTTGTCAAACTTCTTCCTCGATCAACGTGACATATGCTTCGACGCTACTCAGCACTGATAACGAAAAGAAAAGAAAAGAAAAAAAAAATCGTACTCTTTCCACGCGAATGAGTATCGAAGATCGATTATCCCGATTGTCGGTGAAACGGTTGAACCTGTCGCGTATGCAGGACGAAAGATCGGACAGGGCAGTCGGACTAACCGGGTGAGTTAATCTGGTTAAGAAGCAGGTCGCGTCACTCGGTGTCCGCGCGTGAAATCGCGCGACGCTGGCGTCGCTAGTGGCGACGTCGAGCGCCTTCCGGCACGGGGCCGATTTTCTCTGGAGAAGCGCGGTCGCGTGTTCCATCGAACGGAAGATCGAAGGGGTGAGTGAACTCGCGGCAAGGATCAACGTGCTGCGGGTCGTGTAATAGAGCGGATTGCTGTTAATCGAAAAAGAAAACTCTGCCTCGGAACAGTCGAATCGTATACCGGGCAACACGCGTTCAGAAAACGGACGTGGGTGGGGGAAATCGGCCGATTTTCTCATGCTCGCGTACACATGCTTTATTACCACGCGCGTAACAGTGACAACAAAGAAAACACTGACGATTGTCGTTGGTCGACGATGTGGAACATGCCTGAATCTCGCTTTTCTTCCGAGTTGCTCGCGCGCGTTTTACACGATCGGCGGAGAGCATAAGCGTGTAAATTGAACGTGATAAAATCGCGTTGCCGTTCGAGGAACGTTCACATCGTCGGCCATGGGGTTAAATCACATCGTTTCTACGGTGCTGGGAGTGTTTTCAGGTACTACTGCCACTTCGATTGATCGTCGAGACGTATCTTTCTTTTTTCCTTATTTCTCTTTCTATTTTTTTTTTTTTTCTTCTCTTTTTTTCTCGCTCAAAAGACAAATCGTTTCGGAGACAACGTGAGGCGAGGAATTTTGCTCGTTTTACCAATTGTTTTATTTCAACCATCTCGAACACGCGTCGTTGCGTCGCACTTCGAGAGTATCGCAACATGAGAATACCACGCATCGATCGTTACACAAGTGTGATTTAATCGTGTCGAAGCATTCGACGTGTAAAAGCGCAACGTTAAACAGCAACGACAACGTCAAACGACAAGACAAACGGGAAGATATCCACGCGTTCGTAACAGCCAGGTATCTTCGGCGCGCGGTTACAGAGGCCAGTTAGGCACACGTAAGGTGTCAGGACGTCATAAGAGGACGAGTGTGTGCGTTTCGTTAAAGAGACTGAAGCGAAGAGTCACGAGTACCGGACGTACACAAATTCCATTGGAATTTCGGGAATGAACGGGTCCACCGTCTCGCGAGTACCAATCGCAATCGAGGAAAACGCGTGGAAAAGAGAAACGAAGAAGAACGAAAGAAAAATAAAAAAAAAAAGAGAAAAAAAATGGAAAGAAATGTATAAATGACACGAAAGGGCTGATTTAACTCCATTTCTGACTATATATTTTCTCGTTGCAGGCCATCGAGGCGTCCCAGATGGCGCGCAAAGACGCGAAGTGGACCCGCGGATTCTCCGCGCAATACTCACGTCAGCGTCGACAAAAGTGACAGTCATACGTTACTCTAAGGTGCGGCTACTTTAATCTTGCGACACAAGCGCTTTACTACTTTAGCAGAGGTGTGCTTCTGAACTTGCCTGAGCGTAGCGGCAGCAGTAATCCCTACAACAGAAGAATACTTCCAGAGCCCCGATACTCACCGAGAACACAGAGGACAGAGGAGGTAAGAGTGAGAGAGAGCCCGAAACCATTTCCTGCTGTCTATTTCGATCGCGTGGTCGCCACACGGAATACCTGTACACCTTTTACTTTATCTTCTCAGGAGGAGGATTGCGTTTAGAAGCAAGCTGGTGGTGCATGCCGCGCGCTCGTGCTGACTGCTAATGGGGACCGATCGAAAGTATCCGCGAGGGATCGTGGATATGATTGTCGAATAATTAGTATTCGGACCGCAGGTTTGGGAGATGTTGTCGGTTAATGAAGAGGTTAAAGAGACGGAGAGATCGTAGCTTGTAGCGATTATATGGTTCGATCGAACGATTAGTCGAGAGATCGCGTGAGTGGTCTTTAAGTGTAATTGTAGGGCGAAGCATTTAAGAGGAAACAGGTAAAAATGCAGGACTCTCGAACGTACGAGAGAATTCGTTGTAATTATCTTATTACGAACAACAGTGTTCCCTGTTAGGTGCTTCGTTCCGATTAATCCGAGAAACGATTAAAATCTCCATCGATCGCAGAAAACAGGTCTCGTGATTACGCAGGACATCTCCATCGTGCCCCGACGTGTCTGCCTGTTTTGCGAGCTGTGGATCAGCCGAGGAAACGAATTTGTTAGAGGAAAAGCACGGATCTTCAGCGAGCGTCCAATGGTATTCCCCGCGCGAAGAAGTTCGTTCCAGCGACGATTTAGAGGATAGGTGGAGAATGGCCGACGAATTTAGCCGTGGCCGATAAAGATGGTGGAACGACGAGGTGCGCCGTGGATGCTCGCGGACTGGTTAATGTCTCGTGTAGATTACTCGCGACTGCATGCTACCCTGGAAAGCGTATGGAAACTAGGAAGCGAACGTCGCCGGGACACGGCAGGCGAATTCCTCGGGACGGACATGCGCGCGATGAAAAGAAAGCTGATAGCGAAAATAGAAGGCGAGAAGACCGAGGCTGAACCAGAACCAAGCGCATGAAAGCGGTGCAAACTGCGGTGTACCTGGTGCGGTAACCTGTAATTGCTCTATCGCGACGATTGAGCATCCGTACTTTATTGTTGCCGTGTTCCATTCCGCGATGCGAAATTTATTTGACGCAATTATCCCGCGAGTATATTCGTATAATCGATTCGACGAAGCTCGGAGGAAATTGAAAAGCGTTAAACCCGGCGATCATCTCCTTTGTATAAAGACTCCTTCCTCGTCAACTGTAACTCGTAACAGGCTACGTTCGGCTAATTTAGCTTGCTTTAAAGGAACGCATTTATGTATTTTATATTTTTAATTTTTTCAGTCACGATACGCTATTGGATAAAAGTATGAATATTGATTGCTTCGTTAAAGCAGCGATGTTCGGATAATTGAGCTGTCCAGAAGTCTTTACCGATCAATTTTACCATCGGAATATTTACCATTAACTTTTCACGATCTTCTACGTATCCGCTGTACTTTTTACAAATTTTAGTACCAAAACACGAGTGTTCGATTTTTCGCGAGTCTTCACCGATCGACTTTTCGCAGAGGCTTCTCCGTTTCGCTGTAGGGATACCGGCGCATAAATTCCTTCGAATCTTCACCGATCGATCTCTATTCGCAGCAGGTTCCACGATTTCGGTATCGAAGAAATCGCCGTTTAATTTCTCTTTCTCGAATGAAAAAATCCACAGCGATTTATCTCGACACGTCGACCTGTTTGCCTTCCACGTTCGGCGCGGTTAAGAGTTCGTCGAGGAATAAACGGTGTTAATGCTTTTAGCCCGTAGCATACGCGGTCCGAACGATTTGCCGAACGAGGCGCGCCGATTTAATCGGATCGGCAGGGACGCTTTTCGAGATACCATACCGGTCGACAGGGGGAATCCTCGTGGACAGGGGGAACAATGCGTGCGGGCACGCTTTCCCCTAGGCTTCGAGTGTTCGCCTCTTAATGTTGCGTAACTTTAATCGCGAATGTTCGGGCGACAATGGTATCTGGTCGTAGCATTGAAACGGGCGCGTCCCTCTCGACCAACTGGTTTTCTCAGGCTCGCGATTAACGCGAAATTAATAGACCGCCGATCGTGCCGAGATAACCGCGACGGTAGGAAAAAAAAGATCGATCGTTGGGAAAGAGAGTGAGAGAGATAAGAAAGAAACGGAAAAATAAAGGTACACGTACAGGGAGTAATTTACTTGGCGATTTGCGTAAATGCTACCTCCCTTGCGCGAATATTATGAAACTTTGACGCGTCTCATTTACGGTGCTCGCCGATAACATCGCTCGATCGTGCGCCTTGATAGTGTTCGCATTTACGAGTCAATTATTGCGCTAAGCGCGGCTAATAAATTTTATTTATTTCTGCTTTGTCTTTTTCTTCTTTTGCGCTTTTTTGCTCCTTATCCTTTTGCTCGGCGAATTTCTTTGCTCGAAAGGAGCGCGGTACTTACTGCGGAAGGTGTCCTGACTGACGGCCGCCTCCTGGGAGACCAAGTATTGTCTGGCCTTCTTCCCGCTATAATCCCGCACCTCTTGATTCGCACCTGTAAATATCGCGTGAAAAGAATATGGAGCAGATGCTCGAGCAATCCTTTCGCTCTTCCTGCGTGTCAGTTTCGTACGTTTAGGTTTATCCGCGAGGATTCGATTCGGTGTAGGATCGTGGCAGATTTTTCCTAGGATTCGTGTCGGATAGGAGGATTTAACCCTTATCGGTGGTAAGTCACCTCTCACGTGACAACAGTACTTTGTCGCTGCGGTTGTACGTCACGTGGCAGGTGACATGACGAAAACTTGTCGCATATTTAACGAGATTAGCTACAATCTAGTGAGAATTACGTATAAAAGGCTAGCGATAAGGGTTAAGAATAGGAGGTATTTATTTATAGATAGTTAGAGGAGGTTATCGCTGTTATTAAAATAATTTTTTCCAGAGAATTGGATCGCGGATATTTTACTCGAATAAATATCCCGATGAAGAAATAAATAAATCTCCGAGAAATGTGTAATATCTCTATAAATGGGCGAATAATTAATGTTTTGCGTATTATCGACATGTATCGAGGATGTAACGAAATATTGGGATATTCCTTTGAAATTTGATAATTGCAATAGTATCGATAATTCCCTGGCGTATTTATTCCTCCACCGTTCGTTATGAATTTGCATATTCGAGTTAGCAGAACGCACAGACTCTGATAGATGTAGGAATTCTGAACGTATTCAACTCACCGTACACCTGGACCAACAGATTGAAGATATTCTCGTGATCGAACTGCATGGCGATGTGCAGCGGCGTGTATCCCTGGAAAAGTCCACGTTTTCCTCATAAGTGGAATCGCGTAACTCGGATCTAATGGTGATTTACGAAAGAAATACTCGAGCACACGCAACGAGCTACGGGAAAACGGCTTCTCCATTGACGCGTTATCGCGCCGCGGTCGGCCCCGCGATTGGAGGACAGGCTGTGTAAGGAAAAAAAGGAGGTGGAAAAAGCGGGAATGGCGGGGTCGACGGAACGCGGAGACAATGAGGAATTAATGGCCTCGTATTATGAATATCACTCGGAGCGTGCGAATTTCGCGTTTCCGCGACGCAACAATATTATCTCCGGGCGAGCCGCGTGCGTGCACGAACGGGCAGATTGAAACGCGATGCCGCGAAAACGAACCTTGCGTGTGCCGATCTGTCCGTCGCACGCATGAACTTTCCGACTTTCATCCGGCTGTTGCGCGCCGATCTCGCCGCTCTGCGGTTTCTGCCGATTCACCGTTACCTGCCAGCATCGACGACGCCTCGCGTCGCGACGGCCTCTCCGGCTGTTTGACAATCGCTCGCGAAAGACGCTTTTCAGTGTTAACTTTGCACGTCGATGGGTTCAGAAAATTAGGAGAAAATTAGGAAAGTGTTTTCCTCAAATTTTGAGGTTAATAGGTTATGTATACTGACCGTTACCTGTCAACATGGACGACGTATTGGGTCGTGACGGCCTCTGCGAATGTTTGACAATCGCTCGCGAAAGACGCTTTTTCGTATGAATCTCGGAAGTGAATGCGTTCAAAAAATTAGGAAAAAATTTGGATACTGTCTTTTTTAATTTAAACGTTAACCCTTTCACTACGAAAGACGTATATGTACGTCCTCATAAATTTATCAATATATAGGAAAGACTTAAATACACGCTCCTTATATTTTTCTTACTCTATCACTTTTACTATTTTACCAACTGATTCCACCTGAAATATAACATAGCAATTGAATATCGGCAATTGTTTCAATATTGTTCAGCCAATTGTCAAATATCGCGCTGTCTGTATTGATGGTTCTCTTTGAGAATGTACCGCAGTCAAAGGGTTAATAGGATATGTACTGTGACTGTCATCTGTCAGCATCGTCGACGTATCGAGTTGCGACGGCCTCTCTGACTGTTTGACAATCGCTTGCCAAAATTACTTTTCCGTACGAACCTTGCAAGTGGATGAGTTTCGAAAATTAGGAGAAAATTGGGATAGTATCTTCCTTAATTTAGAGGTTAATAGGATATGTACTGACTGCCATCTGTCAGCATCGTCGACGTATCGTATTGCGACGGCCTCTCCGACTGTTTGACAATCGCTTGCCAAAATCACTTTTCCTTGTGAATTTTGCAAGTCGATGGGTTCCGAAAATTAGGGAAAAATTGGGATAGTATCTTTCTTAATTTAGAGGTTAATAGGATATGTACTGACTGCCATCTGTCAGCATCGTCGACGTATCGCGTCGCGACGGTTTGACAATCGCTTGCCAAAATTACTTTTCCGTGTGAACCTTGCAAGTGGATGAGTTTCGAAAATTAGAAGAAAATTGGGATAATATCTCCCTTAATTTAGAGGTTAATAGGATATGTACTGACTGCCATCTGTCAGTATCGTCGACGTATCGCGACGCGACGGTTTGACAATCGCTTGCCAAAATTACTTTTCCGTATGAACCTTGCAAGTGGATGAGTTTCGAAAATTAGGAGAAAATTGGGATAGTATCTTCCTTAATTTAGAGGTTAATAGGATATGTACTGACTGCCATCTGTCAGCATCGTCGACGTATCG